TTTCGGTGTTATATTTCCTCTCGGTGAAAAATTAACATTTTTCGACTGCCTCTTATTTCCTTTTATCATTTATAAATGCATGTACATTTTGTGATAACAGTGTTTGGAACCCCAACGAACTGCCGCATTTTCATTGGTCGCACATCGTCCTGGCTGCCGGAACAATGCCGCTACCATCGCTGCAGATGACCTCGGTGTGTTCGATCTTTGATCGCTTTTCAAAAGGGACATAGGCCGAGCATCGTTATAATTTATAAATTTCTAGGATGCTTAGTGCCCGCAAAGTGAGTTATCGCCATATTTAGGCAATCTCAGAAACCTCCTGATTACATCCTTAAGCTGGCATAATATAACTACATATCAAACCCATCAACTTTCTTAGTTCGATCTTCCAACCTCAAAATAAAATGAAGCTCACTGCACATCTATGTAGCACTACTTATTCCAAGATTGTATGGCGAAGGGGCGGTTTGTTTTAACTGTGTTTAGGCTAGAGGTGCAAAGTGGCTTTAATGTTTAGATAAGTTCAAAGACATGTTCTTTTTTTTTTTTTACATTCTGTGGTGTTCTTGATTGGGTCCATAATTCCTGGTCTTTCGTGTTCAGTTCTTTTAGTGGGGCTACTTCTGCGATGGTTTCGAGCCTACAGAGTTGCCCTTATAGGAAGCGTATTCCTCTGGGCTGGTATGATGGCTGCCGCCTTTGCAACGAACGTGGTCTGGATGACGTTTGCCTTCGGGCTTCACGGTAATTACCTTCAATTCTCACATCCAATATTTGGCGATTAAGCTTTTCCTGAAAGTATAGTGGTTTTCTACCAGCTAAAGCCCAGTTTCAATCATAGCATACTATTACTATGTATTTCAACGTATGCTTAGTTCGGCACCAGTGTGACCATCGCACCTCTTGCACGATAAAACCCGACACAAAAGCATTGTTCGCTATTAGGGTTGTAAATTGTACGAGTATGGTTCAACTCGAGGTTTATGTGCACAGCGCGTAGGCGTTTCTGTGGGGTATATCGAGGGTAAAATAATTATAGAAAATCAGTTTCTCACACACTTGAATGAAGTCAAAAATTTGCCTCATAAATTAGTACTTTATTTCCCTATTTGTGGATAGTACTGCCCTCATCTCATAGGAGGCCTCTTAGGAACGTTTCAACAATTTGGAAAAGAAACCCTGCAGGATATATACATAATGCATAAAAGCCTAATAGTACAAGAGCTTCCTAAATTTATTTCACATAACTTTTTACAATATTAAGGACCACTTTACTGTGTAAGATAACAATCATAGAGTCATTACTTTTTGTCAGATGTTTTAAAGCGATAGCTTGATATGGGAACCCTCCAGGGTCCTTTCTTTGTTGTGTTGGTCGCACCCATGACCTCAAAATGTCACACGACTTCAAGGCAGAACGCTACACCAAAGGGTCCCACAACGTCATGGTTTCACGTAACGTCAAAATGTATCGTGATGTCATGGGGTGATATGACTTCACATCGTCTCGTGCGTCCGTCCCACGTGACGTAACAGTCGCATGTAGCACGACGTCATGGCGTTATGAGGCATCTCATTGTCACGTGGTGTCACACCCTTACGCGATGTCAAAGCGTCACGGGACGTGACGTCAAAATGTTATCGTCTTATTTAGGAGGAATACTTCCTTTAAATTCCAATAAAAAATGCAGCGCTCGTCAAAAACCCTATCTCGTGTTACGGCACGTTCATTGCATTTGACGGAATGTCAAAACCAGCCGTTTTTTTATGACCGAAGTTGTTGAAACTTCATCAGGTTTCACACGATCGTGAAACCTACTTAAAATGCCTACCAGCTGGAAATCACTTTTCTTTTTTTTTTTAATTCTGCATGTAAGCGCGTATACTGACAACCTCATTAAAACGGTTTGTTAATATTCATTGATGTGGAATTATGCATTCGTCCGGAAATCTTACAGAAAGTAATATTCATTGAAAAAATGTGTGCTTATGAATGTGGTCTTACATTGAAATTTAAAAAAAAACATTCGACATGATTCTAAATTTAAAGCGTACGAAAATTTCACATGCAACCTTTCTACATTAAAATATCGAATTATTATGTCACTTTACTGCAGCTTTATTTCCCTGTGTCGTTTAGTCTGTTTGTTATATATATATATGTGGAATGTGTTTCCGCAGATAGTTGAAAAAATGCTTCAATATAGGCCAGGGTGGGCGGTTAAAAAGCATCTTTTTGTGTACAAACTGTCAGCCACGGCGATTATAAGGGATTGCAAAAACTCAGTAATGTCCTAATTAACTAAAAGTTTACTGCGTAACATTTTACGAGGGCTGATTGTTGGGCGAGTTGGTATTGTACATGAGAAAACATGATTGCGCTTTAAGGCAAGGAGAGAGGAAGAACAGACACCACAGAGCGCTAGCTTTCAAGTGATTTAATCCTAGAGCCTCAGCGTAAATACACACTACGTCACCAAACCACATCTCAACCAATCCGTAGCCCCGCCACAGACCGCAAGTACACTATCTCTCTTGCTGCAAAGGGAATTGAAGCCACGCTGGATACCACACGTGCCGGAACTATTGATGGCGTCCGCCTCAATAATCTCTCTAACATTCTTATCCTTGTGCCTAGCGAAAACACTGGAAGAAGCAATTAATGGTTTGCACCCGCAGTCATGACAGTGGTTTTAAATTAGTTGAAAGTTAGCGCTCTGTGGTGTCTGTTCTTTTTCATTGTCTTAAAGCGCAATCATGTTTTCTTACGTATAACATTTTATTCAGCACAATTTAGCGCAACGCCAAGTTTGTAGTTGCGGGCAAAGGGAAAATAATTCGTTTTATAGCGGAGAAAAATTCTCCCAAGCCCTGCAACATTACTGCGGGAGTTTTCACTGACGGCGATAGTAGTGCGTGCGACTGCTGGGCGCGTGCTGGTGGCGAGCTTCCACAGTTCTTTTGCAACGTGCATTCCACACCATCTCGATTGTATGTCTTAGCAGCCTATTAATATTAGCTTCTTTTAAGCTTGCACTCTCAACAGTGCCCTCAAATAAGGCGTCCAGTGAATACTCCCTATTCGCGGCAAGATGTTTGGGGTATCGTCATTTGGGGGAATTATTTCACAACCCAGAGTAAGGATACCTCAACTTCCTCTGCTGGTGCAAGCACGTGCGATGCCAATCTTCTAAGCACTATGCAAGTGAAAACATAACCGCGTTAATATTATGTGCACTACTGATGGTGAGGAAAACAGAAGCGCCCCTATTGAGCTTCTCACCGCGACAACATGTTTCCATAAAAGCGTATGAGGGCACGTTTATTGCTGTGTTTGTATGTTATGCACGCGCACTTTCTGGTTCTCCGTAATTGGGAGGTAGCGCTGGCTGGACTGTGAATTAGAACGTGTGGACTGTGCTTTTTGTAAATAGTTAAAACGTGTTTTGGGGGTATTTACCGCACTCGATATTTCAGGGCGATGTTTAGAGGGCATGTTCAGAGCGACCTTACATCAACAGCCTGCTAAGACCGGCAATATTAGACAGTTTTAGTATAGCGTTGCTGGATTTTACGTACGCAATATGCAATAGTATAGCGTACGCTAAAAATGACCTGCTCGGACAGAATTCAGTTGTGCGTTACGTTTTCGAGTGAACACCGCGCATGATCTTGGTTAAATTTGCTAGAGCTGTAGAATTACGTGTGCTTATAGCGCAACCATGCTCCTGGGAAGAAATATTGAAAAAGAAAAAGTGTCCAATCATTTTATTTTAGATTAAACCAAGCCACAGCTGCCTCGTCAAGCGCGCTTTTCTGCGGGGTACAGAGGCTACGAGTACGAGTGCGTAGCCAAATTCGATCACGGAGCCTCCGTCAGTCGTCCCGTGGAAACAGCACCTTTTATCAGTGCTATCGCGGAATGAAATTCATGACATACTGATGTCCAGTGCATAGAGAGAACTTCGGCGATTTCTTTTAGAGTCGTTCGTCCGTCGGCGATGAACTGTGGGAATAGGCTTAGCGTTGAGCAGATGGCAGCGTCGACGCACACTGCGAGCGGCGAACTTTTTCACTGTGCACTCCTTCAGCTGCAGGGCGATCTGATTCGACCGCGGTAGGTCCCAGAAAGAATCGCCGAGCTGAACACCGCGCATTTTCACGTAACACAGAACTTCGAAAACACCACGTCGCCCTTGCTGCGCCAGTCGAGGCAACCGCCATCTTGAAACTGGCGCTCTCGTTGGGTCCGAGATCTCTCGAGAGCGTCCCGCAAGGCCCGCTAGCCAGCAAAGCAAAATCCCCAGCGTTGCGTGCGTACGCAATACGCTAGCCCTTCTATTGCGTTCTGCGCATGCGCACTCATGACCCGTAATCTCCTTGCGTACGCAAAGCTATAGCGTACGGTCCACTAAAACTGTCTATTGATGGTGCGGAACGCACGTTCCAAAGTAACTGCGGAAGCTCGCCGTCAGCACGCGCTCAGCAGCCGCGCACACAGCTATGGCCACCAGTAAATACACCCTATGCTCTGTTTTCTACTTAGCATACAACGCTGTCAAAGCCTAGTAGTCTTTGTCAAAGCTACTGGCGCTAGCGCCTGGCTTAATCTATGGTTTAGTTTGCGCGAGAAGGGGTGGGAATTATCCACGAGATTAAACCCCATGCTCGCGCCAGCAGCTTAGACAGTGTTGTACGAGGTGTGGCTATGAAATATCGGGACTGGGCGCGTTGTGGGCGGTATGCTTATAGCAGTGGGAAGGGGATGCAAGTTAAGTTATTTCGAAGCTTTCCGAAGCAGACGACACAAACCGGATTCAGATCATACGAGCCGGGACGACACAAGCTGTGACAAAAGGAGACAATATAGCTCATTTTAAAATGGAGCAGCTGGTCAACATTAAATTTCTTGCGTAATTGACGTAATCGCAGAGTGGGTGTTTGAAACTGTTGCACGAGGTAAGCGGTGATAATGTGATATCACGTACGCGAGTAAGTATTTCAATGGTACAAAACAATTTACCGCGGGACGAAAAAACGTTGCAAACGACGAGTGATTGGGTCGCCCTGTCGCGACAAAGACTCAACAGAACACTGTAACAATTGGTAAAATGGTTCGCAACGATCCTCGATTAAGCACTCAGATGATAGAAAACATGTTGTATATTGATCAAGAAACTGTACGACAAATTGTACATGAAAAATTGAACATGCACAAAGTCTGCTCCAAAAGTGTGCTAAAAAAACCTGAGTGAGAACCAGAAGGACGCCAAGACAAACATTTTCAATGACTTCATGAAACGACACGCATCGTAACCTGACTTATTGGAAAATATGTTCACATATGAGACGAGACGTGGATTGTTCGATACGATCCAGAAAACAAAGGCAATCGATTCACTGCAAGTCTCACATCGCCAGTAATAAAAATGGCAATGATGAGCAAGCCGAAAGTGAAGGAAATGCTGATTGTTTTTTTATATTAATGAGGTGGTCATAGTTGAATGGGCACAACTAGATTAGGCAATTATTCAGCAGTATTACCTTGAAGTTCAATCCGAGCTGAGAGGACAAGTGAGGAAGAAGAGGCCCATGCTGTGGAAGAACAACGCGAGGATTCTTCACCAGGACAATTCTCCAGCTCACAGTCATATATCCCTAAAGCAGTTTCTAGCGAATAAAAACCCAGTGCTGGACCACCCACCTCACTCGCCCATTTTAGCTTCATGTGACTATTACCTGTTACCTAACGTAAAACCGCACTAAAGAGAACCCATTTTTGGACTTTGGACCAGGTAAAGGAAGAAACGGCAGCGCGTCTGATGAGCTTGACAGATGATGATCTGCACCGATGTTTCTAACAATCAAACATCGTATGCAGCGGTGCATAGATGGCAGAAGGGATTATGATGAAGGGGATTACTTTTAAGTGATAGGAGTTGAATAACAAATTACACTTTTTCCACCAGTCCCGTTATTTAGTAGCCACAGCTCGTACACTAAGTATGAAACAAAGAATAGTTAGCTAATTCTTATGTTTTCTTATAACCCCTGACGCCCGCTGTTGCTGGCAGTTTATTCCTACCTTTTTTTTAGACAATCTTCAAATGTATTTGCTGAAACACCCTGTATATTCCTTATTTAATTTTCACTAAAACAAATGAAAAAAAATTGCCTTGCAGACAATAATACCTGCACTTATTCCATCCTTCATTAGTATACGTAATCCCTACGAGCAATTTAAGAAGGCATTTGACGAAGATAAAAACATATAATTCACATATTGCGGTCTTATGTTGAAACATATGTGGTCGTCAGCATTAGCTTTGGGCAATATGATTCACCGTCTAGCAAGAACATTATCTTTGATAACCTTCGAAGAACCCAGTGAAAAATTGTTGGGACCTATGAGCACACACCGAACTTCAACACATATTCAGGATCGTTAGTAAGACAAAACTGATTGTTTTGTCTCACAAAACTAGTTGTTATTACGGATTATTGTGGTTATCTATATATTCGGAACTTTAAGTAGTCATTATGCCGGACATCTTTTTCTCTCAGTCTGTTTCATTCTGCATGCTTATCTTCGTCATCCTATCTTTGTATTATAACTTTTCTTCTCTTTCGACAGGTGTCGGAATGGGCGCAATGTACGTAACAGTTTCTGTTGCCATCTTCAAGTACTTTGACAAATACAAGGGCTTTGCGAACGGACTAGCCCGCGCTGGCGAGACAGCAGCCGGCATTGTGTCCCCGTTCGTCCTCGTCTTTCTTCAAGAATCGTACAGTTTCAGAGGCGCACTTTTCATCTTCGGGGCCCTTGCACTGCACGCCACAGTCTTATGCCTGCTTCTGAAGGTCCCACCGTGGATGGCGCCAAAGAAAACTAAAACAATTGGCCTAAAACCCGAGGCGTTAACGGTAGATCCTAGAAATGATGTGAACAACATAAATGAACCTGCTGGATCAAGAAGCGTGCAGCATGCCGACTCCCCTTATAGCATCGGTTATTTACTCACCATGTTTCGGAACCCAATGTTCTGTGTCTTTGTTGTTTTTAGTATGGTCGTTTATTTTTCTCAAAATGCGTTTTTCACTACAATAGTCGACTTTGCCATGGACAGAGGCTCTTCGCTGGCTGAAGCCTCGTCCATCGTAACCTACATATCGCCCGTTGACTTCGTTGGTCGTATGACACTGCCGCTCCTAGCAGATCGGAACTATATTCGTCGAAGTACTCTGGTGATGGTCCTCTTCTGCGTGATGGCAGTGTCAATGATATCTCTACCGCACACGGCGTCCTTCGCAGCCCTTCTTGCGATTTGCGTCTGCTTCGGTACCTGCCTCGGGAGTCTTCTGACAATGGAGGTTGTCATTGTGACAGATTACATCGGTTTGCAACTCTTCGCCGTCTGCTATGGCTTCTGTTGTTTGGCAAGCATTCCAGGGATATTAGCCAGCCCCCTACTTTTTGGTGAGTTCTGAATTTGATATAACCTTTATACTGCTGGTCAGGGTCAGTATTTAAATGGACAGTCCAACAACTTCGAGAAAAATCATTTCCAGTTTGTGTTTCGTTATACTGATTATTTTGATGCAAGCAACAGAACAGGTATTAGGCCCGCTTCAGACGGGGCAACTATTCAGCAATTTGAGGTTGCTGGCGGGTTGTTCCCTAGCTTTCCCTAGATCGACGAGAATTGCTGAGATCGGGTCCGGCTAGAACAAGCGAGCAACTCGGAGCAATTCGAAGACGGTTGAAGCGGCTGCAGCCAATCAGAGACGCGATATTATCACGTGACACCCCTGTGGTTGGATGACAGCTAAAGACTTAGTTCTGGTTTGGAAATAACAGTTTGAGAAAAATGAGTTAGTATTCTCAACGCCGTTCAAAATATAAGAACGCGTTTTTAGCGCGTAGCTGGGCGTCTAAATAGTGAAAGAAGAATCAAATTTAATGATGATGATGGCAAGTAGGAGCGATTCGGTTGCTGCGTGTCAACGCGGCCGGTCGGTGTCGCTGGTGTTGCGACGTCAAGTTGCTGGGTGAAATTGCTCCGTATGAAGCGGGCCTTACCTTCTCCCGAAATACCGTGATTCCGCGATCTGCAACCGTGTATGCGGCCATGGAAACCACAGCGCGAATCCGTGAGTCGTAGCTAGCAAGTGTGTCATTTTCTTATCAATTTAAGGTTCATTTTCAAAGGCCTTGCCATTTAAGCGTGAATAAATACCTTAGAGGCCTCGTATTAAACACAAGCCGGTATGAGCAATGATTTTTCATTAATTTGTAAGTTGAAAGTCAGCGCTAGTACTGTGTCCTCATATTTATTTGGGTCCCTCGCAGTTTCCGCGCGTGTCCTATTTTTTTCAAGTTTGCGTTTCCAAAGAAATTTAAAAAAAAAACGCCCTACTTATTTTGAAATCACATAGTTTTAAAAGGCTTCTAAATTAAAACATGTATGATACAAAAGTTGTACGGTCACATAAAGGAACTCTACACTTTTTGAAAATGATAATTTATTGAGGCTGGCTTATTCTGGCGCATGGTAGTTTGGAGTCGCCGATGCGTTTTCCTTCAATAGAGCGCATTTTCTAGAAAACTAAATTCGAATACATGACAAGGCATATTGTTACTATTAACTATGATTTTTACCATCACCTCTTCTTTTCGTTCGCAGGTTTCTTCAGGGACAGCATGGGCACTTACGACAATATGTACCGTCTGATAGGAGGAATTCACCTAGCAATGAGCCTACTTTTCGGCATAGTATCTTGGAGAGAAAGGCAGAGTGTAAGGTCCAATTAAACATTATTAACCTTTAATGTTAGAAAGCGCAAGCTTTTTTTTTTTTTTTTGCTATCTTGATGAGCTGGTGTGCGTACTTAAAAGTAAACAAGTTTTCAATGGAGGCAATCATCGTAGACTTAAACATATATCAAAATTGTTTTGTATCAGTGTAAATACTCCATTTTTAAAACCGTGAAGCTGCTGATACTTTAAAACATTACAAATCTTGGACGGCACAATAAAATCCACAGTCACACACTCTTACCTATCTCGAGCGTTAAAGTCATTATTTTAGCAACTGCGAATTAATAGCAGCGTTATTGAATCAAGTGAAGGTTCTTTTTTTTTTGTTATGTGGCGTTCAAGCACTAGCTATTGAAAATAATTAACAGTTTTCATCCTTAATTTGCAGTAAAGTTAGTCCTGAATGGGGATAATAAAGCCTATTGAATGTTTCGTGCTCATTTTACAAGTAGTTTTAAATTCTCCAGTGCACGTGGCCCGTGCCCCTCTGCGCCTTGGAAGCGAATGGTGGTGCAGAAATTGCTGGTGTTATGTGTTTTAGGTATTCGCACAATTATTGTCGGTACTTGCCGAAAACACGTTTTATCAAGAGGCTTTAGCAATGTGCAAAGTCTTACTCGAGTGGCTGAGGCACAATGTGAAAGACACAACTGGCAACAAAAAGCAGAGTATCGGACCTTGGCCAACAGCGGGCACGGCGGATCTGTACCTCACACCGTACCGCAGCATACGTCTCCATAGTCTTTGCGAATGACTTACTGCCCTAATTGCCCCCCGTGTGGACGTGATGCAGTAAATGCAGTATTCTCCTTTTTTATTTCATGAGAGGCGGTAGCTTATTCAGGGCGAAGCAAAACCACGTTCCAACAATGAAAGTGAATCATTTGATAACAAAAGTAATAGGGAAAAGACTATAGAAAGACGTTCTGAAAGCCCAATGCTAATCTTGGTGCGGGCTTTCCGTGAAGTAAGCCGAAGTAAAAAAAAACACGCGCGACGAGATTTTGGCAGACAGCAGGGTGCGCCAAAACCCGTGCATTGAATTTAGCTTTGTTGTTGCAACGGCGTGTATCTTTTGCCTTAATTTGTTTAACGTCGCATAAAGACACTAGAAAAAGAGTATCCTTAATTTATCACGTGCACACGTAAACACTACTTCAAGGTACGCTGCGGTGACGTGCAAAGTACAGGTATGCCTTTGCCGCGACTGGCGGCTGTACAATGGAGGAAAGTGAAACTCAGCTTTTAGAAATGATGCTGCGTGTATGTTTAGACAGCTGGAAGCTAGCTGACCCCAACAAACGTCCGGTGTCTCCCCTGTAGATGAAACATTTTAGCAACTGCAGGACTAGTACAGTGTTGGCGGAAACGCGCTACAAGTAACGCCGTCACCGGTAACGTGTTACTTTTCCCGCTAACGTAGTAACGTACTCGTTACGTCTTCGAAACAGTAACAGGTAATATACTTACGTTACCTATTTCGAGTAGCGCCCAACGTAGTTACGTTACTCGTTACTTATTCTTCCAACACTTTAATAAATTACTCTTATTATTTATTCATATTTTGGGCGCCGTAAATTTTCGGTTTTTGCGTTTTTCTTTGCGATTTTTTTTTGCGAGTATTTAGATGAAACAGTAAAAGAACATCAAGTAATTATGTTCAGTTTCCGCATGGACATAATATTTCTTGAAATATGGCGCCTAGGCATACCCGTAATGTAAAAAAAGTAGAGCGTGCTAATTTTTAATTAAAGGGAAACGTGTTCGTCTTATTTTGAAGTAACGGAGAACAGTAACGCGTTCCATTAATTCGCGAGTAATGAGAAACGTATTTCGTTTCTTTTTTTCGGTGACGCCTACAACACTGTGTACTACTGCGAGGGAATTTAAAAGGAACGTGAAAGGAATATTGAGCTCGGATAATTTTTAACTTTACTAACCGGATACCATTTAGTGCGCCGAAAGAAAACTAGGGCACATCGGTTGTTTTGTTCTAGCCATATGTTGCAGTAGAAAAAACTTTGTCCAAATCGCCAGCTAAGACCGTTTTCATATAAAGATCGTAAAGTATTAGGCGCTGGAGAAAATCACCTCTCTGCGTTAACTACTCATTTCGAACTCCTTTTGATGTCCTTCCCATTGAAGAGCGCGGCAAAAGAACCCAAGAACGCACCTGAACTCCCCACCCCGCAGTTTTCTTCCGCACGATAAAGTCCGTCTGCTATCGTGATGGAGGTAGAAAGCTTCTGGAGGCGACATGACACCGTCAGAGGTGAAGCCGGGGGATATTTCCGGTTTGGAGCGTCACACAAGTGTTGTGCAAAATATTCAACAACAAATATTTAAGATAAGATAGTGAATAACCAATTGAAAATTTATTGAGAGTTGTATTTAAGTTATTTTGGCTACGAACTATCATGAGCAGAGTGCAAATATTTTGAAAAACGAATTGAATGGCATTCGAAAATAGTTGGCCAGCTGGTAATGTGAGAATAAAAAAAAATTAAAGACGTTTACGACACCCTGTAGCGCCGAATTGGAGCGCAGCTCTTGAGGAGGATGAGGGAAGGGCACTGAGGAGAGGGTATACGCCTCCTCCCTCCTCCTCACCTCCTCATCCTCCCTGAAACTCCTCCTTCCCTCCTCCCTCCTCTTCCTCCTCCTCCTTCACCTCCTTCTCCCCTCCTCCTTCAAGCTCCTCCATCCTCGTCCCCCTCCCACCCCCTTCTCCTCCTCCCCTTCCTCCTCTGCTCCAGCTCCCCCTCCTCTTCCCCCCCCTCCTCCCCTCGCCCTCGTCCTCCTCTCACTCCTCCTCCTCCCCGAGCCGTGCATTATGGGACATTTCCCATAATGCACCGCGCAGTTACGCCTACGCCGACGGTGATGGTGACGGTGACGCCGTTCACGCCGAAAACGGGCGCCTAAGAGCTGCGCTCTAAAAAGTCACAAAGGAGTGCTTGAAATGGTAATCACTTCGCTGAAAGTCACAATCTGTTGTGGTATTTATGATTTTCTAGAAGCGACGTGGCTGCTGAAATTGATGTTTATTTTGAAATAATTCAGGATATAACCAGATAGTGGGTACCGAATGATTTCACGAACAATGGGGACCCACGTATTGTAGGCATGCCAACTGGCGTGCTCTAATATGGCGGTGGGCTCGGCTCATGACGCTTTCCTCAATAAGTTCGAAATATGCCTTGACTCAATTCGGCAGACTTGACACATAGTAGGCACTGCATTTTCCTAACAGCCAAACTAGTAGTTGCTCAGGCAGACAGACTTGATGAGGAGTAGACGATTGAAGGACGAACGTGCACGCATAGGAGTAACATCGGCTAGAGAACTGCAGCTCCTGGTGCTGATCAACAACCAAGAGCGAGTATATTGCCACCCCAGACAAGGACGAGGAGGAGCGCCAGTACATTCAAACTTTGAAGAAACATATTAGGAAGGTCAAGAGGGAAGCAAAAGTAACACAAGAGAGTCTCCATGAAACCGCCTTCAATTCCTGGCTCCACCTGGCGGAAAACTGGGTTGGAAGATACTGATAATGAAACAATATGCGCATTCGGAAAGAGATAAAAGAAACGCTTTTGAATTAGCTTGGGATCCAAAATTAATCCACAACAAGCGCACAAGGGGCTTCGAGAAAGCCCAGTCTAGGTCACTGCAGCTAAATACAACCAGCAAGATCTAGCTTTGCTAGACGAGGGAGTGTTCGCGGAAAGCGTGCTCGCGTATAGCCATACCTGAACCACCTGAACCGGCGATTTCGGAAAATTGTCCATCGTGACCATACCAAGCGTTGGCGTCACAATCTTCCGGTGACGGAGCCCCTCTAGCTTCAAACAGAAGGAGTAAAATCCCGATGATGTCGCCAGCACTTTGCTAGCCCCAAACATAACCTGCCATTCAAAAACAACTTGAAAAAAAAAAAGAAAGCGGGCACGAGTACGCACAATGGCGGGAGTATTGGGGGATATTCATTTGGTCTTTTTTTGGGGGGCATTCGGAGATTGCATTTGGCTCATGTATTACTTCCTGTCCTGTGTTTAGTTTGCCTCCCAGTCTGCAAGCGGTTCTACTGTGTCCTGGAGACTGACGATTCCTAGTGCTGTAGATTGTTCTGGCGAGAAATATTTTCGAAGGTTAGTAATGTATTTGGGATACTGAGTACAGTATAGTGTGAAATGTAATTAAGATGGAGTAGCAAATGCTCTAGACGAAATGTATTTGCAAGCCACCAAAAAACTACCAAAAGTATTTAAAATAGAGTATCTTGAGTAGAGTATTTAAGATAGGCACAGTACGGTTCACACGCAGCGGTGGCCAAAACCAAAAGACGTGATTGAGCGGACTTGGGCACTCTTGGATGCTATTGGAGGGACGAGGGCACTCTTAAAGGTGTTCCCATCGACCTTGACCTCTACATCCGGCTTCACTTGAGATTTTTTTGTTTGGCTGGCTTGAGCGGGCATGTTGCCTTCACTTATTTTTACCTCCATGGCTATGATCAGCGTGATCATGGCAACGAAGAGTCTTCTTGATAGAGGAACGCGCGACCACAGCGTCTGAAGCCGGCAACGGGAGACGCCATTTTTAGGAAAGTGGTCTGCTAACGTGAACGCCGCAGCACTAGGCAAAGTCGTACACGCCGTGCGGAAGGACCACTCTGATAGCGGAATGCGTTTGCCCCGTCCAACCCTTCCATCTTCCAAATGCCAGACGGTATTCGGAAAATGGCACGGCTGTAGCTGACTTCAGACCAGACATATACACGTTACCCAAAAAAGTAATTAAATACCGTTACTCTTTACCAGCTCAAAAAGTAACCGATTTTCAAAAAGAACGCATTACGTTACCTCAAAAGTAACCAGGTACTTTCCCGTTACTTTGACATTCAAATACACACCTGCGTTTGTTTCATGGTTAACGGTTTTATTTTCACTAGGTGCACTTAGTGCCACTAAATAAGCTACGCTTCAGAGTAA